ATCAGTGCATCCTGTTGTAGACAGATGATAGGGTTTATGCATTGTGTCTCTATGGGTCCACAAGTGCCTCATTATTTGGCAACAAAGCAGAAGTTCGAGCATTTGGAACGCTGTTTGGGTGTGTAGATGCGATGGAGTGTAATTAACTGCAAGCCGTTTCCTTGCGCATTTCACCGCTTTATGGCCGATATTTCTAACGAGCTCCATTACAACTTTGACATATTGCAAAGTTGCATCACCCTCTTCGTAGACGGTCTTTGTTTCAGAGGCAGATCCCTGTCATGACTTTGAAATCATGCATCGGATCCCTTCACAGTTCATAGTTCATTTATTTGGTATAGCCCTGTGAGCCATTCGGCTCTTGAATCGGGTGCAACCGCAACAAACAAAAAAACATGAACAAGAAAACATCTTAAAGTGATTATGTGACTGTGCAAACAGAAAATACAGGGAAAAAATATCAAAATATTCCTGAAATAGCACCGTACACCAACGCTGTGTGCAAAAATCCCAGTGGGATGCAAGTCAAATAACAACAACAACAACCACAAGACAACTAAGATTAAGGCCATCAGTCTAACATAGCTCATCATTGGCAAGACTTCGCTGTACCCGACTTGGTGCTAATCTTGTTTCCCCCTTCATCACATTTATTTAAAAAAACCGACCGCTTTCAAAGTCTTGTGATCTAGCCCTTTCCCAGCCAGGCATATCTTGTCCTCAGGACAAGAGATGCCCTCCTGTGGCCGTTCCTGATATTTCACGTGACCCCTAATGTTGCTTTCAGGCCACAGTCATATGTCCTGCCGCCATCTAGTAGGGTAATCAGAAAATTAAAAAAAAATTGCACGTAATTATGGTCATGCCCCATTAATTATAACTTTTTTCTACTTACCAGAAATCAAATTGTCTAAGTTTACAGAATTGATTTTAAAAGCGTTTGGCTTCAGGGTGGCATACAGGAGCACATCAGATGGTCTTCGGAAGAGTTAACAGAGCGTGGTTGTAATCGGCCTTAATGAGCAATAAATGAGCAATCGAAGGGCACTGGAATGTGATGTTTGTCAAATTGGGTGGCTCTGCAGCGTGCCACTGCCTGTGCGCATCCGAGACGGCGAGGGCAGCCCACTCGCTCGCATTCGTCGCAGGCGCTCATTAGTAACCAGAGTCAAGTTTTGACAAGTTCTCCAGCCGTCTCAGCGGCAGATGATGGAGAGCCGTGGCCTCTTTTGTGTTGCATAGCATGGCATCTATCTACGACATCGCATGGGTCTATATACAGTGAGGGAAAAAAGTATTTGATCCCCTGCTGATTTTGTACGTTTGCCCGCTGACAAAGAAATGATCAGTCTATAATTTTAATGGTAGGTTTATTTGAACAGTGAGAGACAGAATAACAACAACAAAAATCCAGAAAAACGCATGTCAAAATGTTATTAATTGATTTGTATTTTAATGAGGGAAATAAGTATTTGACCCCTCTGCAAAACATGACTTAGTACTTGGTGGCAAAACCCTTGTTGGGAATCACAGAGGTCAGACGTTTCTTGTAGTTGCCCACCAGGTTTGCACACATCTCAGGAGGGATTTTGTCCAACTCCTCTTTGCAGATCTTCTCCAAGTCATTAAGGTTTCGAGGCTGACGTTTGGCAACTCGAACCTTCAGCTCCCTCCACAGATTTTCTATGGGATTAAGGTCTGGAGACTGGCTAGGCCACTCCAGAACCTTAATGTGCTTCTTCTTGAGCCACTCCTTTGTTGCCTTGGCCGTGTGTTTTGGGTCATTTTCATGCTGGAATACCCATCCACGACCCATTTTCAATGCCCTGGCTGAGGGAAAGGAGGTTCTCACCCAAGATTTGACGGTACATGGCCCTGTCCATCGTCCCTTTGATGCGGTGAAATTGTCCTCTCCCCTTAGCAGAAAAACACCCCCAAAGCATAATGTTTCCACCTCCATGTTTGACGGTGGGGATGGTGTCCTTGGGGTCATAGGCAGCATTCCTCCTCCTCCAAACTTGGCGAGTTGAGTTGATGCCAAAGAGCTCCATTTTGGTCTCATCTGACCACAACATTTTCACCCAGTTGTCCTCTGAATCATTCAGATGTTCATTGGCAAACTTCAGACGGGCATGTATATGTGCTTTCTTGAGCATGGGGACCTTGCAGGGCGCTGCAGGATTTCAGTCCTTCACGGCGTAGTGTGTTACCAATTGTTTTCTTGGTGACTATGGTCCCAGCTGCCTTGAGATCATTGACAAGATCCTCCCGTGTAGTTCTGGGCTGATTCCTCACCGTTCTCAACTTCTCATGATCATTGCAACTCCACGAGGTGAGATCTTGCATGGAGCCCCAGGCCGAGGGAGATTGACAGTTCTTTTGTGTTTCTTCCATTTGCGAATAATTGCACCAACTGTTGTCACCTTCTCACCAAGCTGCTTGGCAATGGTCTTGTAGCCCATTCCAGCCTTGTGTAGGTCTACAATCTTGTCCCTGACATCCTTGGATAGCTCTTTGGTCTTGACCATGGTGGAGAGTTTGGAATCTGATTGATTGCTTCTGTGGACAGGTGTCTTTTATACAGGTAACAAGCTGAGATTAGGAGCACTCCCTTTAAGAGTGTGCTCCTAATCTCAGCTCGTTACCTGTATAAAAGACACCTGGGAGCCAGAAATCTTTCTGATTGAGAGGGGGTCAAATACTTATTTTCCTCAATAAAATGCAAATCAATTTATAAAAAAAATTACATGCGTTTTCTGGATTTTGTTGTTGTTATTCTGTCTCTCACTGTTCAAATAAACCTACCATTAAAATTATAGACTGATCATTTCTTTGTCAGTGGGCAAACGTACAAAATCAGCAAGGGATCAAATACTTTTTTTCCCTCACTGTACGTAGCACGGCTTTGTTTACACCTATAGACTCTCCGTTTTGCCGACGTCGGATGCTGCTTTGGAATAACGGTTCGCACGTTGGGACTTGTAAAGGTCAACAGAGGTCACCGGTTCATTTCATTCACCCGGCGGGTGTGGCAGTTGAAACCTGCAGACAAACGGCACCTGAACAATATGCACGCTCACGGAACCCGAGTACAAATACAATAAAAGCACTCACCGCGTTCTTCATTAACGCCTCTTTATAACGGAACAATACAATATATATGGTTGCGGTTAAAGTACTACAGCCATGGCTGGGTATTTTTTTAAAATACTGACAGCTAAAGTGTCAAAAATGTACTCACCGCACATTGCTAATTAAACTTTCCATTTAATCGCTGGCGGCAAAAAAAAAATATTGTGAATGAACCTCATAGTGCTCTTACCTGGTTACACAAAGGAGACTGATTAATAATAATTTTACGGCGGTAATTCAACCCTCAAACCCAACAAATCGAAAGCATTGGCAACAATGGTTAGTGCACACTGCTGTGAGCCCAGCAACCTGGGTTCGATCCCCAGGCACGGCAAACAATCGGTGGCGAGTGATACTTGAAACTGTCCTGGGAAACCCTCCACACCCCCACCACCCCGTAACTCCTTCATCAACCCACGCTGACGACCGCCGCTGGATTGACCGGGCGCCGCGATTTCACTCGGTATGCAAGCGCAGTCCAAAGTCCTCTTCCGTGCTCGGTCAAAGCATCGAAGCGGTGCTCCTTTGTCAATTGGCAAACCTCGAGCCAGTGGTGGATATTCCCCCATTCCCATGGCAAGGATCAGTCTCTAACAGAACAACCACCGTTGACACTCCACCCGGTAATGTTAGAAGAAAAAAAAAACCTGATGGGAATCTTCCAATTGTATCCTAATCATATCTGGTGGGGAGATTGCGTGAGTCAGTTGAACCTGGCCACGACTTGAAACTCATGCCCTTAACGCCATTGAGAGCCCCCGCTCATTTCAAATTCCATGGCAAGTAGCCGGTCTCCCTCTCTCGATTCACGAAGTAGTCTGAAACTTTCCACGAAGCTGCTACCTCTGACTTTTTTTGATTCTCATTTGCAACTCAACGAGAGCCCCGGTACCAAAACGCCAATCACAGAACGGAGGGGTTTATGGGGTTTGGGGGTGTGGGGGGGGGAGGGGGCACAAACTCGGCGAACAGCTGCAGCCCGATTTTCTGCATGGCAAGTGCCCCGACGCAGGGGTGGAGGGGGGAGATTGGGCTCACTGCACACACCACCCAGGTGGGGGGAACACATGCCGGGGGAGGAGGAGGGGGGGGGGTATACATGAAGGTTTATATAAAACCAAACTTTTTATTTGAGCAAGTAAAGCCCCACTGAGCAACGAAGTGGACTTATCGTCCGGAAATTTACAGCAGCCAAATGCTCTGAACGCACATCGTTGATTCTAAATGTGGAGGGGAAAACCGGAGGACCTGGAGAAAAATCCACGCGACCACGGGGAGAGAGACACGCAAACTCGAAATGTGCAACAGGCGTCAGGGTCGGGATCGAAACCACGACCTCCTGTATACCAGGCGAGGTAGTTAACATCTCCTAGCCACCGTGATGATGATGATGATGAGAGAGAGACACGCAAAATCCAAATATACAGCAACAGGCGTCAGGGTCGGGATCGAACCCACGACTTCCTGTACACCAGGCGAGGTAGTTAACATCTCACAGGGTCGGGATGGAACCCACGACCTCCTGTATACCAGGCGAGGTAGTTAACATCTCACAGGGCCGGGATGGAACCCACGACCTCCTGTATACCAGGCGAGGTATTTATGGGGAGGGGAAAGGGGTTATTCGGAAGATAACTACCGGGGGAAGGAAAGGGACAGGGGGAGGGAGGAAGGGGGAGGGGGAAACCGGGTGGGGTGGGGTTGGGGGTCCCCTTCCTTTTTAAACCCAGGAGGGTCGGCTGAGCTGCCCCGATACTCAACCGGGATGTGAACCTCCGCACCCTCGTGCTCTAACCCTAGGACCCCACCCAGCCACGCTCATTCACCCATTGCTGTCTCCTCTGTGTGTGTGTGTGCGTGCGCCGCAGATGACGGAAGGGCGTCGGTGCCAGATTAATCTCCTGGACGACCGGAAGCTGGAGCTCCTGGTCCAGGTGACTTTAACGGCACAACCCCGCACACCGTCGAGACTCGGGCATTCGTCGCCGCTCGTTCATCATCCATAACAGAGGTTTTTTTGGGTTAGATTGTGTAACTGCAAATGTGTCGTTAAACCCGCCACCGCCCGACACAGACAATTAGTAAAGGTTTGTCACGTAAACAGAACGTGCCAATTCGTTACTAGTACAGCGCACCGGTGTGTTGGAGAGCAAATCCACAACTTTACAGTCTGAGTGCGACGTTTTGTCAGTAATTACAACGGGCATCATCAGGCAGACAGCCAGATTTGTGGAGAAATCCTCCTGTTCATCACCCAGTTGAACTGCATTGTGGGGGATACCCTCAGCCCCCTGGGACTCCAGCAGTTCAAGCTGAAGGGTCTGGCAGCACCCGGACCACCGCCTTCTCAGCGTTTGCAGGGATGGGCGGTAAATACTGGGATACGCGTGACGCCCACGTCCCACAGAATTTAAAAAAACACACAATTGGGCCCTAAATAGATGTGTTAATCTGAGTGCTGGGCTCAGTTAATTTTTTTGATCTTAAAAAAAAAACTAAAATGTGTAATGTTTTAAAGCTTATCATGCGTACAGAATAGTTTAGTGACAGTGAGATGTATTCCGACTGTGATACCCGCACCCTTCTGGGACACGCTCACAGTTCTTCATTAAAGCGGTCTTCAAGAAAGAAATACCAGCAAAGAGCAAGCAATGGGGGCGTGACTTGATTTTAAGAGCGGAGATTATAGGCCGTTATGTTGAATCTGCCAAAGCGTGTAATAGGTTCAAAGAGTCCATCAGTAATGTAAGGCACGAACGAAAACACTCAAACCAATGCGATACTAACTCGTCAAGTAATACTGCTCTACAGCAAATGTAAATATCACGTTTAAGTTTTGTTACGTATCGCTTACGGCCCTTTTTAAATGGTTTCCTTTTAATCTGTTAATTTAATGCTCCTCGAGGTTGTTGTGTGTATCTTATGCATTTATTGGCAAATGTGTGTCTGCAGGAGTACTTTTTTTATTCATGCTCGTTTTGTTGCCTTATGGAAAGGTTTGTAAAAAACAAATTAATGAGTTATTCACTCACAATTGTATGCTTCCAAGTTGATGCTTCATTTGGGGGGGGTCAATTTAGTTCACCATCCCTTCGGAGTGAATCACTAAATTTATTATTAATCCTTTCTTTCGCTTATTTACCCAAGAAAGTCTCACGATACTTATTTTCAGGATGGTCCCGGCAAGTTGTCTCAGTGGGGGGGGGGGGGGGGGGGCGATGTTGCCATTTGTATATCCCAGGGTGAGTAATTTTCGGAATCATTTCTAAGGAATGGGCTGTTTGGCCGATGCCTTCTTCTTCTTCTTCAGCTGTCCATCGCGAACGATGACGACTGCGGAGAACAGCTAGAAATTTCCTGCGCGCCGGTGGGATGAGAGGCGCCAAACCCTTGAGCGGAAAGCATCGGCCCGCGCACTGTGGCCAAAGAGTTTGCCCGCTCGTCTGCTGGGCGGGATTCGTGTTGGGCCGTTGCTGCTGGTGTTGACGCTGATACGCTCTTGTCCCTGTTTTTCTCCTTCAATACCAGACACATTGTATGAGGGGTTCCTTTTGCGATGTCATTGTTTCAGTTATGGGAGGAAACTAGAGGAAACCCGTGAAGAACGGGAAAAGAACATAGAAACTTCACGGAGATAGCCGACCCCCAGTGGGGAATCCGACCTCAGCACATGTTGCTGTGAGGAGGCACAAATGCCTCCACTCGGCCATCCTCCTGGCTCGTGAGTTCTGCACGTTGGGACGTCAACAGCGGTTGCCTAATGGGAAAGACTTTCCACTTCCGCTTTGCGAATGTGCCATTCCCACCCACTGTCTCAATCAGGGCTGACATTGCCGATGAGCAGGGGTGGCGTAGGGGGATAAAGAAACCGAGCAAAATCACAGCAGCCCAAAATCACAGCAGCCCAAAATCACAGCACCCCAAAATCTAAGCACCCCAAAATCATAGCACCCCAAAATCAATAGCACCCCAAAATCACAGCACCCCAAAATCATAGCACCCCAAAATCTAAGCACCCCAAAATCATAGCACCCCAAAATCAATAGCACCCCAAAATCATAGCACCCAAAAATCATAGCACCCCAAAATCATAGCACCCCAAAATAAAAGCACCCCAAAATCATAGCTACCCAAAATCATAGCACCCTAAAATCAAAGCACCCCAAAATCAAAGCACCCCAAAATCATAGCACCCCAAAATCAAAGCACCCCAAAATCATAGCACCCCAAAATCATAGCACCCCAAAATCAAAGCACCCAAAAATCATAGCACCCCAAAATCATAGCACCACAAAATCAAAACACCCCAAAATCATAGCACCCCAAAATCATAGCACCCCAAAATCAAAGCACCCCAAAATCACAGCACCCCAAAATCACAGCACCCCAAAATCATAGCACCCCAAAATCAAAGCACCCCAAAATCATAGCACCCCAAAATCATAGCACCCCAAAATCAAAGCACCCCAAAATCATAGCACCCCAAAATCACAGCACCCCAAAATCAAAGCACCCCAAAATCACAGCACTCCAGATTCATAGCACCCCAGAATAATTGCACCCCAAGAAGCTCAGGGGGAAAGGGGGGCATCGGGGTTCATTAAAAATCGGGGTGCATCGTATCTCGACTTTTAAATCATAATAAACGTAACGAGCTCATTCATGGCTCTCTCTCTCTATAAATAAAACATGATCTCTGAATACATTGCAGGGCTCGACGTACGTAGCATGGCTCGGCCACTGGTGCTTAGGCAGGCGAGCTCACTCGCACTGTTTAGGGCTTCTCAAAAGACTCGTCCGTGTCGCCTGGCCTACACTCTTCATGTGTGACCAGTGGAGTCCGGGACTACCTTGGACGATTGATGTTTCCTAACTTCTTGCACGGTGTGCACTCAGATAACCCCTGGGTTTAATTGCACCTTCTAAATGTCAATTATTATTATCATCAATTAAAGCTCTCGCGTGTCTCTCTTTTTTTTCCTGCTTCTCTTTTGATCTCATCGCATCTCATAATGTTGTCTGCAAACCTCTTATCTCGTCTCCGTCGCCTGTTCGTATCTCTTCACTCAACACACGAGGATATTATTAATTGAAAAAAAGGGGGAGGATGGTTAAAGGGGGGGGGGCGGAAGTGACGGCGGGGGGGGGGGGCCCACGTGGGGACCAGCAGCACCGTTGGTGATGAACACCCAACCAGCCCACGCTTGTTGGAGCATGAACAAGCGTGTTTTGCCTTTGGCCTTAGAACGTTGCCTTGCTGTTGATGTCGGCGCTGTTGTTGAAGGACAGAGCGGTGGGAGAGGAGCGGGGGGGCGAAGCTGTAGGTGAAGCTGGGATGGGTTTTGCCAGAGTACGATCGCTCCTCCGAAATATCTTGAGCGCATCACAGCCTCGGGCACTGTGAACTTGTGCAGCCGAAATTACCTTTTAAATCCGCGACTCAAATATTTATAGAGCAGCTGCCTCCCCCTGGCCGAACCTCACGGCGGCACGACTTAAAAATAAACGCTTTCCAAATGGAGGGACGCGTTCATCTCGCTGCTACAGATATGTGCCGGTTTTTTTTACACGGTTATTGATGAAGCTTTGTTGTTGAGTCAATTGAGCCGCATCAGCACTTTGGGACCACTTTTTATGCATGGCCCTGCCTTGCGGTGGGAGGTTGACAAATCTCATTGATGTAATGCTCACATCATGTGCTAATCCGATGCTGTTCCATGCGGGAACACTAATCCCTTCACGTTTAAGGGGATGTCACCCTGTGGTACCGCTGTTTTTATCCTTTGCGGGAGGAAGCATCGAGGGCTGTGTGTGTCCCTGTGTATGTGGCATCGCCACATCCGGCAAAACAACCCCCTACCTCCTCGCGGTGCCGGACGGGCAACTCTGTCGTGGACAGTGCTGTGGGGGGAGTTCCAATTTTGATTGGCTCCTCCCCTCATGGCATATGTGTCCACCACAGGGGCTAAACGGGGGCTCTGGACGGGTGCGAGGGACTGGTAACCCCTCCACCTTCAATTAATTACCACAAAACCACGAATTAAAGTGAAATATGTAACAACTAAGCTTGTGCCGGAGGCCCCGGGGGGCCAGGCGTCTATGACGTCTCCTGGCCAAACCCCAATTGGCGGAGCCAGGAGATTGAATACCTACCCTCGGGGCTACTCCAGAAACAACGAAAAGCCACTACGGGTGGCCACGTGGAATGTTCGAACGCTCACTGCAGAGGAGAGGCTGCCACTCCTCTGTCGGGAGCTGGACCGGTACCGCCTGGATCTATGCGGCATTCAGGAGGTCCGGTGGACCGGCTCTGGCTCCTGCCACCATGAGGGGTGGACAGTCCTCTACTCGGGGCAGCAGACTGCCAAACAACAGGGTGTGGGTCTTCTTTTGAACAAAAGAATGAAGGGGGCGTGGGAGCGTGGCGGTGAGGTGTGGGAAGCTGTAAGCCCCAGGCTACTTTGGGCTCGCCTTCCCATCAACCGGAGGCGAGGAATGGTGGTCGTGGTTACTTATGCCCCCACCGAAGATGAACATCCGTGGAGGGATGCAGGCAAAGCCGATGAGTCAGATACCTTCTATGACCTCCTGTCACAGGTGCTGGCTAAAGTGGCCCCTCGGGATAGAGTCATCATGTTGGGTGACTTCAATGCCCGAGTTGGTCATGATACTGGCACCTGGTCTGGAGTGATTGGAGGGCATGGGCCAGATCAGCTCAATAACAATGGTAGGAGGCTGCTAGATTTTTGTGCAGCCCATGGGCTTGTAATTACCAACACGCTGTTCCGGCATCGGCGCATCCACACAACATCATGGATGCATGCCGGGTCCAAGCAAGAACATCTGCTGGACTACATAGTGACGGACCAGCGAATGCGAGCCCATGTCCTTGACACCAGGACCTACCGTGGAGCTGATCTGCCCTCTGACCATC